GGTTAAGAAAGCAAAAACGGAAACCACCAATAAAAACCCCAGTGCTTTTTAAAGAGAAGAAAGATGGGTCCCTTAGGGTATGCATCAACTGAAAATGCATGTATATGCATGGAAAATATGAACCCCCTCCCATTGATGAAGGACATGTTGGGGCATCTTGCAAAGGGGAAGATCTTCACTAAGGTGGACTTAAGGGAGGCGTACTATTGAGTGACAATTAAAGAAGGGGATAAGTGGAAAACAGCATTTAACAGCTTCCTGGTCTGCTACCAATTCTGATGCCATTTGGACTACAGTGTTCATGCAGCTGATAAATGACATACTGTATGAACACCTGTATGTCCTAGCATATCTGGATGATATATTAATCTATACCAAAACCAAGGAGGATCATGTGAAATTGATTAGAGCAGTGCTTGAGAAGCTGCGGAAGATGCAACTTTTTACAAAGTTGTCTAAGTGTGATTTTCATAAAACCAGCCTAGGCTACCTAGGATACCGGATTTCAAAAGATGGTGTAGAGATGGATCCTGGGAAGGTTCAGGCAATGTTAGAGAGGGAGCTCCTATAAATGAGAAGACAATTACAAAGTTTTCTAGGCTTTGCTTAATTCTATCACCAATTCATCCCCATGTTCACTCAGCCTTGCCTATCACAAATTTATTGAAGTTGAAAGGGAAGCCAAGCCCAGCCAAGCCCTGGTCACTTAAGTGCCAAGCTGCATTCAAGAACTTAAAGTGTCTTTTCTCCACTGAACTACTCCTAAAGCACCCTGATCCAGATGAGTCTTTTGTGATACAAGCAGATACCAGTAATGTAGCCACAAGGGTGGGGCTGCTCTGGAAGAACAGAAAAGGGGAGTTGCAGCCATGCGCCTACACGTCCTGCAAGCTTTTGGAAACTAAGAGACGATAAACTATCTGGGAAAAGGAAACCTATGTGGTCTGCTGGGCTCTCCTAACCTGGAGGAAATTCTTGGAAGGTAGTAAGATTCCTTTTATATATATATATATATATATAAAAAGTTTTATTGTTTTTTTCCATTTTTTCCAGCTTAGGACACAACGTGGTAGTCAGGGTGTCAAGTCATTCAAAGACAAAATCATATAAGTATAGCTCAAATTAATGATCAAAAATTTCCTCTCTGTTTCCTAAATATAATATTGCTTATTAAAATTAATACAGTTTTAGGCAAAGTTCAATCAAACAGAAATCATCAATCACATGTGATTGTAATAATCTATATCCTGTTTTTAAGCTTTACTAATTACAGTTGTCATACTCCAATTACATTTTAGTAATCATATAGTTGGGATTTCAGATATCCTTAATAATAGGTCATTGATTGAGATTAATTTTTTTCCCTATCACAAATAACTCTTCCTCTCTCTCTATTACAACATCATATTTAAAATAATAATATGTCCAACAAATATAGTTCTATTTTTAAAAATATATTCTATCATTTCATCAATCTACATCTATAAAAATTCTTTTTAAGCCCTTGATAAAGTTTACATCTTCAAATACTTATCAACTATAATATCAGGAAATTCCCATCCTTCATTCATAATTAAATCAAACAAACTCTATCTATTACAACATAATTATCATATTTATAATAATGTAAGTCCAAAAAATACATTTCTATTTTTGAAAATATATTCTATCATTTCCTCAATTTACATCTATGAAGTCTTTTTACCCCCTGAAAAGGTTTACTCTCTCAAATACTTATCAACTATAATAACAGTAAATCCACATCCTTCATTCGTTATTAAATCAGAGAAAATCTCTAAAGCCTTTTTAACCCATCAAGTAACATTTTATGGCACATTCAAACCTGATTCTAGCTTTCTTTCTATGCCAAATTGGTTCCCATATTAAAGCTTTTCAGTTATCAAACCTCAAGATTTGATTACAAAAATTTCTTTTTTTTAACACATTTTATTGGGTTTTTTTGAAATCTTAAGAAAAAGTACTCAGGATCCACCGTGGTTGTTGGGAGGTCCAACATTCAAAAGTAAAAACATATATAAACAACTCAACTCAATACATTTCACTACCCCCTCTCTATTTCCCTCAATTAACATGATACATTTAAATATTCCATTTCTATTTTAAATTTCTATTATTACTAAACCTGTGTTATAACTTTATCAGTTTACAATTACCATAGTTTAAGTTTAAAACAACAAATTATCAATTCTAATTCTTAATCTCTCACATTCCTCATTTTATCACCAATCTCATTTATTTCTTCTTCCACTACACAATAGATATCCTAATAACAATAAAATATTAATCAGCCCTATACATATGTAATCCCAGAATCAATCCATCTCTTTAAAATAACGAGATAATATTAAACCTTAATTCATTCAGATTCATCAAACAAAATTCAAATTTTCTCCAATTACTTATCATGCCTTATCACATCTTTGTTGTCATACAGAAAAGTCATCCTAGTAATTTAAAACACTCCATTAATTATTGGCAGCATCCAATCTAAACAGTCATCATTTTTTCAATTCCAATACATAATGATTTTCATTTTATTCCCAAACGCTACATAAATATGCAAATCCAGTACATTCTTAATCTGTTTAAAATATCTATTCTAATAATCACGCTTATATGCTTCTAACTCTAAATCTTAATCCTTAAAACTGTCCATAAATCCAGCCTTTTAATCCATTACACAATTTTAAATTTCTCTTTTCAGTCTAATTCTGGGTTTTTTCCTGTGCCAAGCAGGTTTCCATAAACATGCTTCACTTTCAGTCAGTAAGTCTATTTTTATTGCTTGGAATGGCCTTTGAAGAAGTAGGAGTCCCATCCTCTGCATCAAACATCTGTTTCTCTCCTCCCTAAACTATCGTTGCTTTGTAGTTTCAAATCTCAATCTTTGCTTCTTCTGTTCCTCAAAGTTACAAATGAAAGATTTGTAAGGTAGGATAAGTTCCTCTTTTATCTCTGTTAATTCCTCTTTTAGTATATCTTGGTTTGTAAAATAATCAGGTGTAGTCTGAGCATCCGTTTGAATATTTGAAGTGAAATTTCTGGATCTTAGTTCTGTAATAGGTTCTTTCAATATGGCACAAATTTCTGCAGTGGCTTCATGTATCTTTTCCAATATAAGATTATAGTTTAATTGTGAATGTGGTTTCTCCATTTTAATAGTAGTTAGAAAAAATTTCTTTTTTGTGGAGACTGTATTTGATGAAAATTGGTCTATATCCACCCCCACAATTCCCACAGCTCAGCTTATCTTTTTTCAAAAATAATTTGAAGGTCAAATCTGGTCTAATTTCAAAAAGTAACCAGAAAATGCAATATTAAATTTTTGCCACTAGATGTCCTCAGTAAGTTAAGAAAGAATCTTTTCCAGGCACCATTTCCTTATTTCTATCTTTAAAAGTATAGTGTGAAAGAAGAAATACCAGGCAATAATACAGTTCTTAGAGGAAAAAAAGAGAGAGAGTTTTCTGTATCCCAAAAAATATGAAAGTAAAATTTAATCTTGTAAAATGCCTTCCTTCCCAAAAACCTAAAAGCTGCTTTCTTTAGTCAGGGAAATAATTCCAACAAGGCTCTTACAGGTAAAAAACAAAGTCAAATAGAGAGAGTAGCAAAGAAAAGTCTCACCCGGATTCACCATGGGGGTTCTTACAGCTTAGATGTTCTTGACTTGCGGTTTGAAGCAGCAGGGTGATCGGCCATTTTACTGGCTGATCTTCTTCTTCGTCGGCCCTCAGAGATCGCCCAGACAGCTGGAGGAGCCGCCGCTCCTGTGCAGCCGAGCTGAAGCCTCCTCAATAGAAGTCGCACCCTCCAGGGTGACTTTTAAGGGTCGACTGGCGGAGGGAAAGCTAGCCGACGAGGAGACAAATCTCCCCATGTGACTAGGAACTCTGCAAACTGGAACCGGAAGTCTGATTACAAAAATTTCTAATCAATTCAAACTGAACAAAATTTCCTTCCCTTTCTGCCAATATCATCTGAGTATTATATTGACTTTTACTCGATGTTATGGTTATAAGTAAATTATCTGCTTTATTGTATTTTCCAGAGGATTGTGTCTGAATATCAATCTTTGTTATTTTTAGTAATTGAACTAAAAATAGTTCAATTACAGTTACTTCTTGGTCATCAAAATTATCCATCAGTTGTAGGTAACGTTGTGTAGAATTAGTTGGCTCAGTGGTTTCCACATTTTCTCCCAGTATAGATTCACAATTGGATTGTAAGCATAGTGTCTCTGTCTCTTTGAATTGTATGTCTTGATGTGTAAAGGCCTGTTCAGGATTACTCAGTTCATTTTCTATTATTCCTTGGTCCATAACTTGATTCATTATTGGAGAGTCGATGTAAAATTCCAAGGTAGCCTCTTTAAGTTTTCTCCAAGGTTTCCAATAGGTTTTGAAGTCTTCTGTAAGTTCTAATATTTTTTCCAGTATTAAATCATAGTCAAGATGTGGATAACTTTTATCCATTTTGGTTGTAGACTAGCCTATTCCTTTATTAGAGTCTGTATTTGAAAAAGATCCACAAATGTCCACCTCCAAAGGTCTAATAGCCAGCTTCACCACAGCTGTCAAGTTATCTTTTTTCTTTTATTATCATATGAAAATCCAATCCCTCTTCAAATAATAGGGAGAAGTACAGTTACAATTTCGCTTTTCACCACCAGATGTTCTCAGTGGACTATAAAGTCTTTTTTTCCAAATTAATAAAGTTAAAGAAAAGAAAAAAAGTTTTCTCTCTCTCTTTTTAAAAAATTTAACAAGAGAGGTATCTCCAGCACTATCAAATTGAAAAAAACAAAGTAATAATGTCCCCTTCTTCTTCTTTTTTCCCTAAAATCCCCCCCCCAAAAGTCCAATAGTAGAAAAAACAACCATAACAAAATTTATTAATCTTTTTTTTTTTTAGCTCTCTTTCCCGTATAGGCAGCCGTCGCTTTCTTAGAAAAGGGAAATAGTCAGGAACTCTTTACAGGAAAAGTCAGAATAGTGAGAGAAGGAAAGGTCTCACCTGGATTCACCATAATGGTTCTTCATGCTTAGTTGTTCTTTTGACTTGCGGTTGGTGCAGCTGGGTGATCGGCTGATCTTCTTTTCCATTGGCCCTCAGAATTAGCTCGGACAGCTGAAGGAGCTACCACTCCTCCACAGCCAAACACAGCCTCCTCGACAGTAGTCGCACTCTCCAGGGCAACTTTCGACCCGCATAAGGGTCTACCGGTGGAGGGAAGCTAGCCGACGAGGAGATGAGTCTCTTCGTGCAGCTAGAGGCGCCGCGATCCGGAACCGGAAGTCTAAAGGTAGTAAGATTCCTTTTGAAGTGTGGATGGACCATAAGAACTTAGAAGCACTGAGTGCTCCCCAAAAGCTGTCCCACAAACAAGTCCAATGGCCCAATACTTTAATCGCTTCAACTTCACTCTCTGCTATCTACTGGGAGGGTGAAATTTTGGGGCAGACACTCTCTCACAAATGCCACAATACAATAGTGCTTGAGAGGAGGTTGTCGATTCCATCATTCCCTCCAAACAAGTAGCAGCACCAGCTCTAACAAGACAGTAGGAAGCATCATCATCACAGTTGACCGACAACCTAACATGATCCCTAAAAGAAGCCTTGGCCAGAGATGAGTGATTCCAAAAACAAAAAGATAAATTGTCCTTAAGGGCTGAACTGGCATGGATTGGGAACAAACTATATCTCCCATCGAGCCAGAGGACTTTAATATTGCAGCAGAGCCATGATGTGAAGGTGACGGGGCATTCTGGATTCGTGAAAACCCTTCTCCTTGTAAAGAGGCAATTTTGGTGGTTGCAGATGAAGAAAGACAAAGGAGCCTATGTAGCCAGTTGCCCTGTGTGTGCTTCAGAGAAGAGTCTGCCTGGCAAGCCTCCAGGACTGTTGCAGACTGTGGCCAGTGCCACAGCTCCCTGGAGGGAAATATCTATGGACTTATTGTAGAGCTGCCAGAAAGTGCTGGGCATACTGTGATCTGGGTCATTATGGACTTATCCTCTAAGCATGCCTACTTTGTAGTGTGCCCTAGGACCCCTTCTGCTTGGTCCCTGGCTAAATCTTTCATGTTGTATGAAACATTTAGCCAGGGACCAAGCAGAATGGATCCTAGGGCATACCACAAAGTAAGCTTCCTTAGAGAATAAGTCCGTAATGGTCCAGATCACAGTATTGGCAAAATATATACTTTCATATGAGGGAGTGTAATTCACATCAAAGTTTTGGCATGAGTTCCTGAGCTTGTTAGGTTCCTCCCAGGGTCTTAGCTTCAGCCATATCCTCAAACGAATGGGGCTTATGAAGGTGTGAATGCAGTCCTGGAGCAGTCCCTTCGATGCTATGTGAATTACCAACAAGACAATTAAGCTTAACTTCTACTATTCGCTTAGGTGGCGTACAATAACTCTGTACACAGCAGCATGGGGTTTACCCCCTTTTGAGTGGTCACTGGCATGGAATTTGTGCCTATGCTAGAGCTCCCTCAAGGGATACCTTCGTTGACTTTGTTGGCTGAATGGATAAGTATTTGGAAAGCCATCTGGACCATAGTGTGCAAAGCATTAGAAGCAACAAGGGAGGTGCAGAAAAGACAGATTGACAAGAAGAAAGCCCCTCAGAAAAAGTTTAGAATAGGGGATGAGGTGTACCTGTCCATGAAGTTCCTGCAGTTGGGGCAGCCCTACCAAAAGCTGGGACCTAAGTACATAGGTTTTTCCCCGATCGTCTGGATTGTGAATTGGTGACAGTGGAATGGAAATTGCCAAAAGTCCTCTGGCACATTCACCAGTGTTTCACTGTAGTTTGTTAAAGCCCTTTTGTAGTTCACCACTGAGACTGGCCATTAAGCCGCCTCCCCCCCCACCTGGGTAGATGGAGAAAAAGATTTCAAGGTCAAAGAGATCCTTGACTCTTGGTGTTACAAGGGGAAGTTGTAGTACCTAATCTTATAGAAGGGGTTTCCCTTGGCAGAGTCAGAATGGATGAAGGCAACGAATGTCCATGTCCCTAAAGTCATTCAGAGGTTTCACACTAGGTACCCAGACCAATCCCAGTAGGTAAACCTGTGCAGAGGGATCATGGTGTAATAATCTGTGTGTGTTTCCGTGTAGAATTAATCTTTCTGGAGGGGTGGCATGTCATGGTTGACTTGCTATGCAACCCTGCTTGCAACCAGAACACTGTAAGAGGAGGGGGGACGGAAGGCCTTGGAATGTAAAGGAGGTTTGGGAGGGAAATTTGGAATGCAAGTGTGCTGACTGGAAGCCTGAGACAGACCCAACACCTCAAGGTTGCCAGCTGGGGAAGTCTGAGGTCAACAGAATTGTTCCCAAAACAAAGAGAGTGCAAATGATTGGTTGACAATGGACAATGGGAGGTCATGGAGTTTGACCCTTCATCCAGATGGGGGGGATTCTGATCCCACTGGAGGGAAGACCAAGGGTTCTCTGACATTGACTATGAGGATGACCCCTTGGTAAGTGGACTGATCACACCAAGGCTGGGAAGGGTGCTTTCCTAAAAGCACTGCTAGACTCGGGATGTACTGGATGCCTAGTTAGCCCAGCTTTATGGAGAAGTTGGGGATCTGCATATACTTCCTTCCCCTTCATGAAGGACATGTTAGCCCAAGTGGGAAAAAAATCAAAGCTAGATTTGCGGGAAGCTTATTAACAATCAGAATCAGGGAAGGAGATGAACGGAAAGCCACTTTCAATTGTCCACTAGGCTGTTTCCAGTTCAAAGTGGAACTGGCGAGAGCAGCTCCTGACCCACAACTTCCAAGACAGATTGATTCATGATCTGTACCACACCTGCCTGGCCAGAGGGATCTCAAACCAGCTCAATGATTGGTATCAACTGGTGACCACTGTGGAGATAGACCTGTCGGAGTACAAAGCCTGTGGGAGATTTGAGCCACACTCAAAGAGAACCCATGGAAATGAACTGGTGGCATCTCCTGCCCCTGTTGAAGCCTTGAGTCGTACACTCACCCTGTGCTTCTGCTATGGCCAGGAGGGCCACTGAGCAGCAATGTGCCCAGCACTAACACCCAAAGCCTAAGAAGCTGCTGAAAAGGGGGAAGGAAAAGTCCCAAGCGGCAGCATAGGTCATTGAGGTCTCTCCCCTGAAAGTGAAGGGAAGGGAACTCCGACTGAAGAGGAGCCATAATAGCGACAGCAAGGGAGGAGATGACGCAATGGGGAGTGGACCGGTCAATCCCCTCGCAGCCAAGATGGACAGGGGTGAGAGGGGTGGTAAAAGCACTCATAAACTCAGGTTGTACCTACCAAGGTAGCGTTGGAGAAGGGGGAGGAGCAGCAGCTTGTCCCCAGAGAGTACAGAAACCTCATGGAAGCGTTCAGTGAGGAGTATAACAATCTGTCACATCACCACCCAACAGACTGCGCTATCGAGATCCTGTCCAGAGAGAAGCTCCCCAAGCCAAAGATGTATTCCATGACTCCAAAGGAGTTGAAGGAACTGAGGGACTACATTTATAAAAATTTGTCTAGGGGATTTATTCAAGTGGTGAAATCTTGAGTGGCAGCACCAGTGTTGTTCAAAGAAAAGAAAGATGGGTCAATGAGATTGTCCATTGATTTCTGTGGGATTAATGGATTATGCATAGAAAGTATGTACCCTCTCCCCCTCATGAAATATATGTTGCGGCATTTAGCTGAGGGAAAAATATTCACAAAGTGAGATCTGAGGGAGGCATACTATCAAGTGAGGATCAAGGAAGGCGATGAATGGAAAACTGCTTTCAACTGCACCCTAGGAAACTATCAATTTAAAGTAATGCCTTTTGGACTGCAGGGGGGCCCTGCTGTATTTATGCAGCTCATAAACAAAGTGCTACATGAGCATTTATACAAGGGGTTTTGGTGTACTTGGTGACATCCCTATTTACACTGAGACTATGGACGAACATGTAAAACTCATGCAACAGGTGCTGAAAAAACTGTTGAAAGCTAAGCTATATGCCATACTGTCAAAATGCGAGTTTCACAAGATAGCCTGGATTACTTGGGCTACCAAGTGTTGTGCAAGGGGGTGGAGATGGACTGGGGAAAAGTAAAGTCTATCTTGGAGTGGCAAGCCCCTCGCACCCACAAGTGGCTACAAACTTTCTTGGGATTTGTGAACTTTTACAGGCAGTTCATCCCCTCTTTCATAAAGATCACCTTGCCAATCACTGAGCTATTGACAATGGGGAAAAGGGGAGAGAAGCCCCAGCCAAGTCAGCCCTTGGATAAGTGTCAAGCAGTATTCGAAAAACTGAAGGGGCTGTTTGTGGCTGAGCTACTTCCTAAAACACCCAGACCCAGAGGAACCATTTGTGATCCAGGCAGAAGCCAGTGACCATGGGAGCAGTCCTCCTCCAGTGAAATGAGGAGAACCTGCAGCCATGTAAGTACACATCCTGCAAACTAAATGAAATAAAGTGACAGTGGGCTGTGTGGGAAAAAAGCTTGCTCAGTGCAATGGGCATTATTGACATGGAGGCCATTCCTAGAGGGAAGTAAAGCCCCATTTGAGGTGTGGACTGACCATAAAAATTTGGAAACCCTGAACACCCCCTGCAAGTTTTCCCTGAAACAAGTCTGATGGACGCAATACTTCAACTGATTTGACTTTGAACTAAAATACATCCGGGGCGGGGGGAGGAAGAACTTCCTGGCAGATTCTCTGTCCTGCATACCCCAGTATAAGAGCAATCAGGAGGAGGTGGTGAGCTACAGCATTTCTACAAAGCAACAAGCAGTGCAAGCCACCAGCAGGTGGCAGAAGAAAAGGAGCTCACCCTCCAACAATGCATTTGTTCAACAACTGAAGCAAGAGCTGCAAACCGATGCATGATTTGTGGCCAATCAAAGAGAACTAATCATGAGGGGAGGGCTGGCACGGAAGGGAGATAAAATATATGTTCCCAGACAGTCTGTGACTGCAAATCCTGCAGCACAGCCAGGATGTTAAGCAAACTGGCCATTTTGGGTTCTTAAAAACTTTGTATCTTGCTAATCGCCAGTTCTGGTGGCCAAAGATGAAAAAGGACGTTGAGGGCTATGTGAAACACTGTGCAGTTTGCGCAGCCAACAAAGAGACTGCCAGGGAAGAGCCCAGGGCTATTGCAGCAAGTTGCTGACCTGGCCAGACCCTGGGAATAGATAGCTATGGACTTTATCATGGAACTACCTGAGAATGGGGGGAACACCATGATTTGGACTATTGTAGATTTGTTCTCCAAGCAAGCCCATTTCATCACATGTTCTGGGCTCCCCTCAGCCCAAAAGCTAGCAAAACTATTCCTACAGCATATCTATTGATTGCACGGAGTGCCTCAGCATATCATATCAGATCGAGGGGTCCAGTTTATTGCTAGGTTCTGGAGGGAGTTTGTGAGAATGATTGGGTCCTTCCAGGGGCTTAGTTCAGCTTTTCATCCAAGTATGAACAGGGCCGCAGAATGAGTCAATGCAATGGCAGAACAGTACCTGCATTTCTATGTCAACTACCAGCAAACTAACTGGGCAGGGCTCCTGCCATCTGTGGAGGTGTCATATAACAACACAGTACACAGCAGCACTGGTTTCACCCCCTTTAAATTAGCCATGGGGTGGAGTTCATGCCTATGCCAGAATCCCCTCAGGAGTCTCCATCCTTGGGCACCTTAACTGAATGGGTAGATTTGTTCCAATGGGTTTGGAATGATGTGAGGAAAGCTTTAGCCAAAGCAGCAGAGAGTCAAAAGAAACAGGCAGATAAAAGGCGAGCTCCCCAAGGAACATTCCATGTAGGGGATAAAATGTATCTATCCACTAAATACATCAAGTTGAAACAAACTTGCAAAAAACTATGTCTGAATTACATAGGCCCCTTTCCTATTGTGAAAGTGATAAACCTGGTGATAGTAGAACTCAAACTGCCTAGAATGCTGGGGAAAGTACATTGGGTATTCCACTGCAGTCTACTGAAACCATTTCAAGGCTCTACAATGAGACAAGTGGAGAAGGCAGCTCCCAATCCAATAATAGTGGGGGGGGACACACTATTAAGTCAGGTGAATTTTGGATTCCAGGATCCATAAAGGGAAGTTACAGTACCTAATCCAATGGAAAGGTTATCCAATGTCAGAGGTTAGATGGGTAAAGGCTTACAATGTGAAAGCAGATTGCTTAGTAGAGCAATTCCATAATAAGCACCCCTGGAAGCCGGGGCCATCGCAAGAGAAAGTTAACAAGAAATTATTTGTATTCATTGTTTTCCAGGTTCTCCCAACTCTGTAAGGGGGGCACCCTTTCAAGCTATGAAGATTGCTTGCCATGCTGCTTCTAGCTTGCCTACAGTTTTGAGGGAGGAGGGGAAGGTTTGGAATGCACAGGTGGATTCTATCCAGATGGGAGCCAAGGTCACCAAAGAGATGTTGTGGGTGGCCAGAGACGTTCTTCTCATAAAAACTATATGAGGATTAATTGGACAATGTGACCTGAACTGTCAGAGAAGGGATGGAAAGTTTTATTCTTTTAATTATCCTTTTCCCACCATATTGTCAGAGCTGGTTTTCAACTCTTTAGTGCTGGTATGCTGTACCCAATAAAGTTTTGTATTAGAGATCTAAATTACTCTGGTGTATTTACTTAGTTGGGATCTTTAGTGGAAACTTGACAGCCGTTTTATTAATTATCAGCAAGATGACTGAACAGACCTCTTGCCATTTGCTGAAGTACCATATAACAATGCTGTGCATACCAGCACAGGTTTCATGCCATTTCGAATGGCAACTGGGCAAGTCTTCAACCCAATGCCTGAGCTACCGGTCCAGGAGCCAATGATCCCCTCTTTAAAAGAGTGGATCAATCAATTGAAAAATATGTGATCTGTGGTGCACAAAACCCTGGCAGATGCCCGGGGACTTATAAAGCCCAAGCTGACAAAAAGAGAGTGGAACCTAAACCATTCACATTGGGGACCATATATATTTGTCCACCTGGTTCCTACAATCCTTACAACCCTCAAAGAAGTTAGGACCAAAATATATAGGGTCTTTCCCTGTAAAATGAATCATTAACCCAGTCAAAGTAGAATTAGATTTACCAAAGTCATTAAGAAAAGTCCACCCGGTGTTCAATTACAGCCTCCTCAAACCAGAACTGATTTTGCCCTTAAGGCCGGCACCCCCTCCAGTCCCTGAACCTATTATGGTGGAGGGAGAACAGCCTTTTGAGATTAAGGAAATCTTAGACTCACACACACACTGGCGAATCACCTAATACCTAGTAACATGGAAAGTTCTCCCTGGGGCTCAGCCTGAGTGGATGCAAAAGAACTATGTGAAAGCCCCTATACTAATAAAACGCTTTCATGACCACTACCCCAATAAACCTAAATAAACAATCACTATTTCTTTCCCCCTTTTTGTTATTTTTTCTCTTTTCCAGGTGGATCTTCTCTTCTTTTGGGGGAGGGGAGTATGTCAGGTTCCTTAGGAATGCTGCCATAAGAAAGAGAAGTGGAGCATGCATCGGTATGGATTGAGGATGTTTCTGTATTACTAGCATTTGTTTCTACTTTCACTTTGATGTCTCTGCATGGGAATCAGGGAGGGAGGAATACTCTCGGGGCCATCTGTTTCTACTCCTGCTGACTGGAAAGGATGAGGACCTTGGGAAATGGCCGGTTATCATCTTTTTGGCTTGAAGTTCTCATAACACTTTCATGCCAGTGGATTGACTCCAGATGGACTGGGCATTGGGGTGGGGCTGAAGAAACGGGAGTTTTAGCTTAATGCTTTTATACGGGAACTTCAGATTCAGATTTTATTCTGCAATCATTTTCTCTCAATAAAACATCTTCTTTGAAACAATGCCTGTCTCTTGAGTTGTTTTTTTCTGAGAGGACAGTTGAAGCAGGTCCTTACAGTACATCTCTTACCCAGTCTCCTTTACAGCCTAAGAAACTATATGTGTATGTGTCTTCTGAGCCTCTTGGCCCATCTACATTCCAGCTCCGGGCTTGTTGCCTTTTATCTTATCATTTTTTGGCAAGTCTATGACAACTCGCCATGGCCAACTTGCTGTGGGACAAGAGATACACTAATATCAAAAAAATAATGGAATAGAACCATTAAAGAAAGGATGCCAAAGGAGGGACAAAATGAAATGTGATTGACAAAAATTAAAATAATGTTTTAATTATTTTAAATAATTAAATTGAATTTTTGAATTGTCTCACAGCAAGTTGTCCTGTGGCGAGTTGGCCATAGTAAGTTGTCCCACAGAAAGTTGGCTGTGGTGAGTTGGCCATGGCCAATTAACTGTGGCGAGTTGGCTTTGCTGAGTTGGCTATAGCAAGTTGTCCTGTTCCATTTCTTGGCTGCGTCTCTTCATCCTATCTCTCAAGATCATGTCCACATACCATTGTTTGTCTGTTTAGCTGTCTCTCTGTCTCTCAGGTGTATATGTTTGTGATCTCAGCCATTCTTACAACCATTCTTTTTTTTTAATATACTAAGATATAGTATTCTGTACTTGCTCAACTAAAGCAGTTTCATGAATTCTTGACTCAAATGAGCTGTGAAACAAGATAAAATATACTTTAAGTTGAATTGACTATCCTTTTGGTTTGACCAGGATTTAGAATGCCTCATAGTCTCTCTGTTGTACTCTCTATGTATGCATATAATGATAAATGGCATTGATCAATATGAAGAGTACAATGCTACCCTAGGCAAACTTGTACTCCCCAAATGTTTTTGATTATACATCTGAAAGGTGCCATTTGAGCAGAGTTGATATAATCCAGTGGGAATTTAGGAAGTAAGAAAGAATCTGCTCATTCTCTATATATGCAAAGTTGATACATTATTTTACACTATTTTAGGATGATAATCTAGAGCACTGGCATAGCAAAGCCTGCAAATGTGATTGTCAAAAAAATCCAGACTCAGTGTGGTCCATCGAAACAGACAGTCTAGATTGCATGCCGGGTAAGTACCACCTTTTTATTATTACAACTCAAGCCAGCCTATTCAGTTTAATATTGTTCATATTGAGATTCGATACCCATAATTATCAATCAGGATCTTCTTGAAAATTATATGTGACTTGTATTATTGGTCAGATTGGGTCAAGTAAATGAAAGTATATCCTTAAACTAATTATAGTTCTTTAAGGTCATTATTTGCAAAGTATTTCCTCCATTAAATGCAGTAGGGATTCTTAAAGTGTCAAGTATATAAGAATATCTCAGAACAAAGAGAAGCTGTAATACAGAAAAAAAAGGTTAATAAAAGGAGAAAATCCTTCTCATGCTGAATGGACTTTTAAAATAAATAATAGTACCATTAAATAATTAATGTACTTGGTTTGACAGTCCCCAGACCTCTGTTTGGTAATTCTTTTAGTCTACTGCAATTTTCTATAACAGAAGGCTACCTCTTAAGTATATTACAGCTGAGTTATCTAAAGATTAGAGTTACTAAAATTAAACTTGATATGCTTGCAAACACTGTAGCCTGCCACACTGGACGTATTTTAACTCATTTTAGTCTTTGTTGTTTTAATACTTCTATACATGTGATAGTTGCAAATTCTGTGCAACTTCTATTATCCAGATGCCTTCACTACAGAAACCATCACAATTGTTGGTACAATATTCAAGCAGGCTGCATTTCCCACTACTGCAAATCCTATTGGAGTCCATGTGAGTCCCAACTGATCACAGAGACCTCTCAGCTTGTGGAGGCCATATGGTATCCTTCTTATTGGGTTTTTAAAGACATAATTTAAATTTTTAAAAAAAGACAAAACAGAAAAACAGAATGTTACATCCAATACAGATGCTCTGGTGAAATGAGAGGGAATAGTCATTTAAATTCTATTGATATTAATTCTGTGAATTAAACAAGAAGAGTATATTGATGGTGGTTCATTTGCAAAGACTTTGGATTTAGAATGTACAATTCCAGGGTGTTCTTCCGAATTGTCAAATGATTGAACTAAAATACTTCCTTATATAAAGTTCTAGACTTTATAGACTTGTTTTTCTATTTCCTTTCAAGACACAATAGCAAATTGTATTCATGTGTGGCTGCAAGTGTCCTACTTTAAAATACTGGTTTACAATACTGTGGGCCTTGGTGATTTTCTAATGATACAACTCCTACTTCCCTGCTTGAAAGTGTGCAAAATTAAACCCCAAAACTTCCCCAAATCCAAGAGAAAATAAGAAATAAAACTTCAATCATTGTTCAATGTCTCATCCTGTTAATAAAATTAAGTATAGCACTTTCTGGAGATAGATGCAGCAGAAATTAAACTTTTTAACTCCAGTGTGCACTGATTCCTCTCCATGTCTTGTTTGTCTTCTTTTACAGAGTGTCCCTATCATAAGCCTCTTGGTTTTGAATCAGCAGCTGTCACTCCAGATCAAATAAGCTGTTCCAATCCAGAGCAGTATACTGGGTGGTATGCTTCATGGACTGCAAACAAGGCCCGGCTTAACGGACAAGGATTTGGGTAAACTGCATTTGCAAGACATGTTTTCTACCAACAAGCTATACAAAAGGTTTTTTAACCTCTAAACCAGACATGTCAAACACAAGGCCCAGGGGCTGGATGCGACCCATGAAGTGGTTTCATGTGGCCCACGAAGCCATCCTGGAAACAGTGAGGGAATGGCCCCTGCTGCCTTGGCTCTGGCCCAGGCCGGCTGGGAGCCAATGTACAATTTTGTGGTGGCCATCTTGGCACTTGCCCCGGTGGACCATGCCTTGGCACTTGCCCCGGTCCCACCCCCTTCTGCCAGAGACTCTCATATCTGTCCCAGGCCCCCACAGGCACCCTTAACATGAATTATGTAGAACTGGCCATGCCCACCCAGTAGGCCACACCCATTCCATCCACACCTACCCAGTAGGCTGCACCCACTCTGGCCATACCCACCTGCCCCCCCCCCCAGGGCAACCGCAATGCTGATGCGGCCTTCAGTGAAATTGAGTTTGACACCCCTGCTCTAAACCTTTGTTACATAATATATGGAGGCTAATAATGACTTTTAAAATATATATTTATGATCCCAGAACAATAAATATTTACTTCCATTAACAGTTGCTGGGACAAATGTGTGGATGTTACTGTTTCTGTCATCATGAGCTTCTGAGAGTTATCTAGATAGCTACTGTCAGAACCAAATGTTGCATTAAATAAGGTTTTCTATTGTGCTGAGTCATGTTGTGATGGCTGTTTTTCAAGCTCTTTCTTTATCCCTGAGAGAGTCCTCATTTTCCTGACATTTTTCTTTATTCCATTACATGAATAATGAAAAAAAAATAACAGCAGCTTTGCTGCTTGTGAAGCAGAAAGAGGGGGAACCAAAATCAAAATCTATATTGAAACAATAACTTTGTTAGGTCAGATGAAGGTTTATGAAGCAGTGTGCAAGAGTTCTAAGAACTCTTCATAAGAGATTAACAGAGTCAGTGACATTTGCACCTGATAAATACTCTTAAATTGAGACTATTTCATAAAATATGATAAAGCTTAATGTAATTTTCTTATATGGTATTTCATTTGAATCTAGTCACTGAGATTTGTAAGTCATAAGCTTGGCTTTGCTGATTTGTGAACCTACCAAATAAGTTTATTTTAAAAATCATGACCGAGTTAGTTAGTTAGTTTACAGAACAGGAAGCTGACATAGAGGACAAGGATATTTCCAAAGTTTGTTAGAAAGAAATCCATCTCTCAAATAACCATGTAACATAGAGATAGGGAGCAAAATCTATCATATAGCCCTCTCAAAATTGCCCTCAAGGGATATATATTCCAGAAGTAGCTCAATTTTCATAGGATCATGTGATGAATTGTCTCATTTACTATTAAATATGTCCTATTCACAAGGAAATAATTGTTTACATGAAGTAATTGTTTCCAGGAATCAGGAGAATTAGCACTGAGGCTTCCAAACATCCAAGGATCAAAACAAAATGCAGCAGCTGACTCCAAGATCTCCACCCTACAGTGAGTGGTTTGGAGGTGTTTTATTAGGATCATTGTCAGGATCATTGGACCTGAATTTTTTTTCTGCTTATTTTGATCCAGGTTCTGGCCATTCACTGGCTTCAGATTCATCTCTCAATTCATCCTCTAAATATGAGTTCTTTATGGAGGTTGAGTCAAAATGTATGCTTTATAAATATATTTATTGACTATCAGTGCCTTCCTTCCATAACTCTTCTAGATGTGCCTGGCTCTCCAAATACCAAGATACAAACCAGTGGCTACAGATTGACTTGAAAGAAATTAAAGTTATTTCAGGCATAATTACACAGGGAAGATGTGATACAGATGAATGGATGACAAAATATAGTGTGCAATACAGGACTGATGAGAATCTGAACTGGGTTTATTACAAGGACCAAACAGGAAACAATCGGGTCAGTATAAGATCCCTTCCCCTTTTCTGAAGAAGTCCCAGTATTTGCATCTATTCCGATAGAATATATTTCAGCTTCAAGGTGAATAGAGAATGCCATTAAATCCATTCCATTCACTTAAATTTTATCATATCATTTTGGACAATTGACCAAATCAGGGATATACATGTATAAAAGCAGACCTCTTCTGAACACCTTAGATTATCAGCTGAATATATTATGCCTATATTCCATCTTTTCTATCTCTTAATTTTATCAATGCTATCTCATGCATTTCCATTAACTCAAATCACTTAGGGCCTTTCTCGGTGTATACTTAACTATGGTAAGAACATAGCTTTGCAGTCTCTTTTTTTCTGCTGTGTCTTTATGTTACAATGTTTCCCCAAAAGTAAGACCTACCCTGAAAGTAAGCCCTAGCTTGATTTTTTGAAGGTGGGCCTAATATAAGCCCTACCCCCAAAATAAACCCTAGTTTTGGGGCAAGGTACATGCCTAAAATCAAGCTAGGGTGGGGGTGGGAGGTGGAGCTGCCCCACTCACCTCACACCTGTTACCTTATTGGTAGGACCGCCACAGCCACCGGCCCAAAGCACCATACAGCCTCCTGCCACAAGTGACATCAATGGCCTGAAGTGCCATGCACCATCCTGCTGTGATCAGTGGAAATGGCCTGAAGCACCGTGAAGCTTCCTGCTGCAAGTGGCAGCAACAGCGTGAAGCATTATGCAGCCTCCTGCTATGAGCAGCAGAAATGGCCAAAGCGCTGTGTGGTTTCTTGCTGTGAGAAGTGGCAATGCACTATATGGCGTCGGGCTGCAAGTGGTGGCAAGCGGCCACTGAAGAAGTCAAGCAACAGGTGTCGGGGCATGGGAGGCCTGGCTGCGGCGGTCCTAATGTAAGACATCCCCCGAAAATAAGACCTAGTGCTTCTTTTGGAGGGAAAAAATATAAGACTGGGTCTTATTTTCAGGGAAACACAGTATTGTCTTCATCTCACACCCAATCCATACTTGAATCAGCCTTAAGTCATCTTTAAAATAGTTAAGTTTTTAAAGATTGCCATTTAAATCGGGAAGAAACTATGGAAGTTTTGTTATGGGTACAATCTGGCATACTTCATCAACCATTCAGTCAATATTCAACCAACAAATGTTGGCCACCATAGGTTGATACAGATAAGCATTTTCCTCTCCAGTCTCTGGTCATTGTCCTTCCAGGCCATTCAAATTTGATTTCCTCCTACCCCACACTTGCCAGGCCTCCAAGAAAATGCCCATCTTGGAGAACTGATTTGGAAAGAGGGACCAGCCTGACTAAAAGGTGATAGGTGCATAAAGATGGGTGGGTGGGCAGTTGCTGCATATTGGAGAATGAGGAAATTCCCAGCATACTATGTAACATGGATTCCTTTTGAACACAAGTTTAATACTCTTTCAGAAGATTACTAAAATTGTGTTTAAAATAATTTAACCACAGCTGGCAGGTATTCAAAAGGAGCCTGAAGACAGGTTTAGTGCACTTCTAAAAGAGCACTCAACCTGTATTTGAAAGGAGCTCAAAAAAGGTTAACAGGTGCTAGGAGTGAGGCCATGTAACAATATAAAATCAAGTGAAATATTTTAGGATCCAATCTGGGTCTGTCACCCTGGACCGGAGGTTTTGTCTTTTTAGCTTTTGGGTTCATGCTGGAGTCCATCTTCAGGGAACTTCTCTCTAGCAGAGTATGTGCTTTGGGCTCTTCCGTGTATAGTATTTATATGGTTTATAAGGACAGAAGGGAAAGAAGATAAACATCAGATTGCAAGAACACAAGTGAGTGGTCAGACAAGGAGTCCTGAACTCATTGGTGGCCTCACACTGCAATGAACAAGGACATTCAATTTTGTAGCTACTAAGATTGTTGGATGAGGAGATACAAAAACAGCTAGGGAAGTGATTTAAGCCTGGGAAACAGGCCCCTCATCAGTCAACAGGAATGCTGATTTACCACCAGCTTATCAAGTACTTAGGAGGTGAGGGCTTGGCAGCACAAGCAAATAACAGTCAGACTTAATAGTCAGCCATCAGCACCCCAATCAACATCTAAAAAGCCACATACAACAGGCACCATATAAATACCACACACAGAATAGCCCAAAGAACACACTCTGCTAGAGAGAAGTTCCTTGAAGATGAGCTCCAGTACAAATCTGAACTCTCAGAAGACAAAATCTCTGATCCCGGTGACTGACCCAGATTGGATTCTGCAACATTATCCTGGGACACATATATTCACTTTCATTCATGAAATATTTTAAGCCAAGCACAATGTCAGACTTTTGATCTTTATATTAAGATTTTTTTAATCTTTAACAAGCCATATATGAGATGAGGAAGATGCTGAGTATAGTACTAATACAGTATAAACATATTTTAGCCATGAGCAGAATTTAGCAATTGGTTCTGTTAGTTGCTTCTAGGCACAAAAACTATCAGCAACCTTACTGGGCAAGTCAACTATACAATCATTTAAGGCAGTAAAATTGTTTCCAAATTATTGGGTGCAAAATTAGATGAATGTTAAATCTTAAGCTCTCTTTTTTCCCTTGCTCTCCTATTTCATTTTCTCTAGATTTTCTATGGAAATTCAGACAGATCATCATCTGTGCAAAACCTCTTGCGCCCACCCATTGTTTCTCGTTACATAAGGTTGATACCTCTTGGCTGGCACGTGCGCATTGCTATCAGGATGGAGCTGCTGGAGTGCGTGAATAAATGTATTTAAACTTTGGTGTCATCTGGGAAGAGATAGGTGTTTTATTTAGAAAGATATAACAGTATAATTAATATGAGAAATAAATTCACTGACTATGAGTTCAGTGTCTGTTAAAATTATACATCTTATCCAGTACCTCCTGTGACTTATATTCTCTGCAGCTTCAAGAAGTTAATAGAATTCTGTATATTAATAAAATAAATCAAGATGGAATAAATTGGAACTTGTATTATATTTTTTGAATCCAGGGTCTTACACCTCAGTAAAAGGAAAGTCAAAACTTTCAGTGCACATAAAAATGGCCTCTACAAAAAGAAATATAGATTTCTTACAAGTTAACCAAAGATGGCAGCAATGCTTTTGTAAGTTCTGGTAGACATTATACAATATACTATATACATTATACATTATACAAATAACTACATCTCCACAGAAATAGAGCACAACAATGATAAAAACTGTCTTGAATGCATTTGGGTCAATATAAAAGGGGGGGGGAATGACATTGCCATAGGTGTATACTACAGACCACCCAACCAAACAGAGGAAATAGATGAACTTTTTGCTAGTCAGCTAACTAAGGTATGTAGGAAGCACATCACAATAGTAATGGGGGACTTTAACTACCCTGACATCAACTTGGAGACAAACTCCGCACCAAGTGGAAGATCAAACAGGTTCCTGGCAAACCTAGCAGACAACTTTGTCTCCCAAAAAGTAGAGAATGGAACTAGGGGATTAGCCATTTTGGATCTAATTCTCACTAACAGAGATGAAATGATAGACGGTGTTGAAGCCATAGGAACCCTGGGAGGAAGTGATCATGCAATATTAGAATTCAACATTATAGAAGCACAAGCAATAGAACACAGTCAAACTAGAGTCTTGAACTTCAAGAGAGCTAATTTCAATAAACTTAGAGAGGGCTTGGGAAGGATTCCATGGATGAGAATCCTCAAGGGGAAAACAACTCAAGAAGCTTGGGAAATTTTGAAAAATGAGATAATAAAAGCACAGTCTAGCACAATACCAACAAAGAGGAAAAACAACAGCTCTCAAAAGAAACCAGCAGGGCTGCATAAAGAACTCTCTGACAAATTGAAAGATAAAAAGGACAAGTATAGAAAGTGGAAAGAGGGGAACATAACTAAGTCAGAATATCAGCAAATAGCCCGAGCCTGCAAAGATGAAGTGAAGAAAGCCAAGGCTCAAAATGAACTGAGGCTTGCGACCAAAGTCAAAAATAACAAAAAAAGCTTCTTTCAACATGTAAAAAACAAGAAAAACGTGAAGGAAATGATTGGTCCATTAGTGGGTGGAAGTGGCAAGAAGGTGACAAGCAACAGGGAGAAAGCAGAACTATTTAACTCATTTTTTTGCATCTGTCTTTACACAAAGGGAAAAAACAGACCAACCTATCAAAAATAGTGCCATAAAAAAAAAAAACAGAAACACAAATTAAGATAGGCAAGAAAATGGTTAGTGAGCACCTGTCCAGCCTAGATGAGTTCAAATCGCCAGGACCAGATGGATTACATCCCAGAGTTCTCAAGGAACTGGCAGATGTGATATCGGAGCCCCTGAACTATATTTTTCAAAGATCCTGGAACACAGGGGAACTACCAGAGGACTGGAAAAGAGCTGATGTAGTTCCCATCCTCAAAAAAGGAAAAAAAATGGATCCAGGAAATTACAGATCTATCAGCCTGACCTCAATACCTGGGAAGATCCTGGAAAAGATAATCAAACAACAAATCAATGAACACCTAGAGGCAAACAAAGTCATTACTAAAAGCCAACATGGGTTTGTCAAAAATAGATCATGCCAGACAAATCTTATTGCATTCTTTGACCAAGTGACAAAATTAGTGGATCAGAGGATGCTGTGGACATAATTTACTTGGACTTCAGTAAGGCATTTGATAAAGTAGATCACAACCTACTACTTGATAAGATAGAAAAATGTGGGGTAGACAGAATCACCACCAGATGGATCCGTAGCTGGCTGACTGGCCGTACTCAGCGAGTGGTCCTCAATGGAACTGCATCTATATGGAAGGAAGTGTGTAGTGGGGTGCCCCAGGGCTCTGTTCTGGGCCCAGTACTCTTCAACATCTTCATCAACAATTTGGATGAAGGGATAGATGGGGAACTCATCAAATTTGCAGACGACACCAAGCTGGCAGGAATAGCCAACACTCCAGAAAACAGGCTTAAGATACAGAAGGATCTGGACAGACTTGAACACTGGGCACTAACTAACAAAATGAAATTCAATGGTAAAAAAAGCAAGGTTCTACATTTAGGCAAGAAAAACCAAATGCACAAGTACAGCATAGGTGGCACCATGCTCAATAGTAGTAACTGTGAGAGGGACCTCGGAGTCCTAGTAGACAATCACCTAAATATGAGCCAGCATTGTGCTGCAGCTGCCAAAAAGGCCAACACAGTGCTAGGCTGCATTAACAGAGGGATAGAATCAAGATCACGTGAAGTATTAATATCACTCTTCAATGCCTTGGTAAGGCCACACTTGGAATACTGCATCCAGTTTTGGTCACCACGATGTAAAAAAAGATGTTGAGACTCTAGAAAGAGCATAGAGAAGAGCAACAAAGATGATTAGGGGACTGGAGGCTAAAACATATAAGGAACGGTTGCTAGAATTGGGTATGTCTAGTTTAACGAAGAGAAGGACAAGGGGGGGACACGATAGCAGTATTCCAATATCTCAGGGGCTGCCATAAAGAAGAGGGAATTAAGCTATTTTCCAAAGCACCTGAAGGCAGGACAAGAAGCAACGGGTGGAAACTAATCAAGGAGAGACGCAACCTAGAACTAAGGAGAAACTTCCTGACAGTGAGAACAATTAATCAGTGGAACAGCTTGCCTCCAGAAGCAGTAAATGCTCCAACACTGGAAGTTTTTAAGAAGAGACTGGACAGCCACTTGTCCAAAATGGTGTAGGGTTTCCTGCCCGAGCAGGGGGTTGGACTAGATGACCTCCAAGGTCCCTTCCAACTTTACTACTACTATTATTATTATATACATTCTTCAGAATTTTAGTGTGCATTCTCTGAAGATATTTCCCATTATAATAGAGAAACAAAAATTAAGACTGACCAATGTAGATCATCATTTCACTCTTATGTGAGGAACTGTGTCACCAGTTTATTGCCATACTATACTGCCAGTATTCTTTATTTAGTGATCACAACTGGGACTGGCAACTCAGTCATTATTCAAAACAGTAATTAAGTGAAACCAAGACTGCTGTTATGAGTTTGCTTCAGTTTTTCTTTGCTTTACAGACCTGCAAAGGTTGTAAATATGAGGTTTGGTCATAAAGTTACTTTTTTATCATCTTTCAAACTGTGAATGGCTGGTAAATGAGGTACTCACTATATGAGGACTAGCTGTGTAGCTTTCCATAACCTGGGAATATTTAAATATGTGCATTTTACAAATTCCAGTATTTTCATCTTATATGGCCACTTGTTGTCCAAGGAGGAATGCTTCCCAGAAATTCTTACAGCAAAGAAATATACTGTTTGGAGAGTCTTATTTATATGATTGGATAAATCAACCAAGTGAAGACCTTCACTTGTGTTAACCTTTCCTTAAAGGTTGCATTTTCCTTCTCTGAACATTTTTCTTACCAAAATAATCTGTTGAAACCAATTCTCAGTTTAAGAGAAACGCCTATAAATACACATATATGCATGCACACACATGCACATGCAATGCACACACATGCACATGCAATGCACACACATGCACATGCAATGCACACACATGCACAGAAACACACACATATACACATATACACACACACAAATGGGAAATCCCTTTTGTATCTTTTCCAATAATGAAAGGAATGCTAGAGATTATGAACTTAGGCATCCTTCAATTCTATATTGTATATTCATTTAAGTTCAATCAGATTATAGAAAAACATTACTTATAATTTATTATTGGTATTTTAATCTTTATACTCTGTCGTACTTCCTTTCAGATTTCTGTTAATTTAAATATGACTAGAATGTCCTAGATTTCATAAAATATTGGTAGAAGTATGGTATTCTTCTAGTAGGAAATGAATATTCTGGCTGCTAATAATGAGTTAGATATGTCAGTATCATACGAATCACCATGTCATGTAGCTAATATCAATAATACTAGAATTTTCTTTTAATTTTCTTCAGTTTTTTAGTCATTCCAATTTATAAGTCTAAAATTATACATCTAGATTTGTGTTTATGTAGCAAATTCAGTAAGTGACATTGTAAGCATATAGAATGATTATCCTGCAGGAGTTTGATGAAATAAATGTTATATAGATGTACAGAGATATTTAGTGATTATTAATAATTATTAGTCATAATTACTGAATTTTTAAATGTAAGATCATTCAATTTAAAATTACTGGTTAATAAAGACAAAGTTAAATTTACTGAACTGATGTTTTTTTATGTTGGATTATCCATGAATTTACAGTGAATTTACTTTTTTTTATAATTCACTATGGAAGCAATCTAGATTTTAAAAAAGTAATTCTAATATTCTAATTCTTCTCACTACAGTTTTTATTAAATACCTTTTCAAATAGGTATTTTATTTATTTATTTATTTATTTATGAGACTTATATACCGCTTTAAGTGCAAGCACTCTCTAAGCGGTATACACCAGTAAGCAATGTATATATATATTTACATTGCCCCCAACAATCTGGGTCCTCATTTTACCTACCTCGGAAGGATGGAAGGCTGAGTCAACCTTGAGCGGGTGAGATTTGAACTGCTGACCTGCTGAACCCAGTCAGCTAAAGTGGCCTGCAATACTACACTCTAACTGCTGCGCCACCTCGGCTCTTATATATACTTTATATATACTTTAAATAAACAATCATGTCTCCATTTTTAACACCATAATTATCAGCTAGGATTTTATTTATAGACCAGATCACTGAATTTATCCTCATTTTGAACCTACAGGTGTATAAGCCTTTGTTGTTCAGCTGAGTTCCATGTCTATATTGATCATATAGGATACAATGAGGATCGTCCTGACCATTCATTGTGACTCAATACAAATCTTATCAGCCTTCCTTAATTATGTTAACTGAACACAAATGATTTCTTGCAGCAGATGTTTATGGTTCAGTAGGGTTTCACCAAACCAATTTTCTAGAATATAGGTAATCCTCAATTTACAAT